AAACGGGGAAAGGGACAAATAGGTTTTAAAACTTGGCCTTTCCCGCATACACCTTTCTGATCGCAGAAACCATGTAAAATGATCCGATCGAACAGCCGGCCTCTAGAATTTGTCTCCAGATAACGACTGAATTTGACCTAGCTGACAGTTAGTGTTGAAAATCTTGCCAATGTTGGAACTTTAACCTAGGACCCTCCGGCTGTACACTGCAGTGACCAGTTGCATTCACCTCCACAGGTCTGAATTCGACCTATCTAGCCAGTGTCGAAAACCCTGTCACCGTCGGTCGAATCCTAGGACTTTCTGTTCAGAGGCACTGAGTGACATCAGTTGATGCCTGAGCACCACCGGTGCGCCCGTCCTCCGTCCCGGGTTCCACTCCCGGTCACCGAGGGGCCCTCTCAACAAAGTGCAGAGGGAGACTCATAGGTCGACAGGGAAATCAATACTGTCTCGGTTATTGTTTTGGGGAACAACAGCGGACACCAGAGCAGATTGCACTGAAAGCAAAATAAACAGTTTCTCAGGGACACGAAACCATTAAGAGAGGGCGCACTCGAATAAAGTATTCGAAAAAATATCATTAAAAATATTTTTTTGTAACGGTTACGCGACAATTTTTAAATAGTTTAATAAAATAAAATTACAAATATAATTTTTCTCAAAACTACCAAATTTTTTTCCAAACTTTCGAACGGATAGTGCTAATTGCACTCTTCAATATAACGTAAAGTTCATTTCTGTGTATTCTTTCTTTTTAAAATTACACTAATATTTTTTTGAAAGATCTCTCATGGCTGTAGTATGAACATTTCCAGAAATTTGTAAACATTATTGCATTTGTGACTGGAAATGCTTGAAATGACTTCATATTGAATTTTTTCGGAAACTCAATATTTTTCTGAGAAAGGTTCAAATTTCGCATTTACAGTAGCGCTTTAAACGCCAGTTTTTTTAAAAACGCTCCAAAATTTTTCAAGAAAAATTACTATTTAGGACGAGGTTTTACTGTTCTTTAATAGTCTTAAAATCATATTTTCTGTTCTAAAATTAAAAATCGAAAATGTAAGAAAATATCAACAAAATGTACTTTGGGCGCAGAAGATGGCAGCTGGCAAGATATGAGGAGTCTGAGTAGCTAGCGAGAACAAAGGAAATAGAAAATTAACACGAGAAAGTCTTACCATTTCTGTAGCCAAATAGATTCTCTCTGTACAAGTTGCGGATTTAAGTTAAGAAATACTATCTAACGCGCCACGATTAAAATACACAGAGAGGTGAGCGCCAAATTTGAATATTTCGGCTGTGATGTGTAACACGTACAAAAACGTCAAATTAAATATTATTGCTTCTTTTATTACGTGTAGTAAAACTAACTTATTGCAACATCAAAAACCTCATGGAGTATTAAGTGTATTGTATGTTTCGTAAGATTAAATGCTGTTCATAAACGCTTCAAAAAATAATATTTCAATCTTACTTTTATTTATTATTCATAATGCAAATGTAAAAGGCTTGTTGCAGAGCAAATGTACAAGTTGTATGCAGCAGACGTGAGGAACATAATGAAAGTATGGTTTGATTTCATACTAGTATTGATTCAATGAACATCATAGAAAATCTGTGCTGATCTCAAAGCATTACGCGTTTCTTAGAATATATGCAGGTTTTACAAAATTCGGCTGTTTCTTGTGTACTTGGAGCAGTAGAGCAAGGAAAGCGTTAAAAAAACACACTGTCCCCAGCGAGAATGCTATGTGCGGCGAGAAACAGGCATCTCCACCAAAACATTGGTTCACAGTAAAACATTTTGTAATAGGGCTACTCACGTGCATGAAGTTAGGATTAATGAACTTTTCGTAAAGACAAGGGACAAAAGTATATATAAGAACAGTAATTTATGAAATCAAGTGGTAAGGGTCGGTATTCTTAGTCAAGTTATAATTCAGTAAGTAATTAGTTATAGTCAAGTTAAGTTTAATAAGCGCGAACTCGGCCGAACAAAACGCTCATGACAACACCATAGATCAAGGCTTGCCAACTCAATGCTCTGTGACGTCACAAAAATCTGCTCGCCTGCTCGGAAACGAGCCTCCGAGCAGAGCAAATGCTCGACGCGGCACCGGGCGTACAGTGTTCCAATGATGGTACGGATGTGGGGGGAAAAGGTACCCTCGATCATTACATTTTTAAAATGGTAATTATTATTTAAATGTTTATGATTCAAAAAAAAATATGAAAAGTGTAAAAAAAAAAAAATGGAACGTGGGTTATTTCATAACACAAAGCAATAACCGACTCTATCGTTATACTGTAATTCTACTTCCATTCTTCTAACACATTACATTTTCGGAGAAGACAGTTTTAACATTCTAATACAATGTTTTATACAACGTTATATAACATAACAATTTATGTTCGCCCCAAACCAATAACACAGGCACACAAAATAAAAATAAAAACTTGTAAATAAGTAAAATAAAAAAGACCCAAAGACTTGATACTCTATGTATGCCAACGCGCTGAATCCGAATCTGAAGCTAGAATTGCGTCACCACCCTCCACCTTTTTAAATCGCGAAAAAACACCGTGACATTGTATTTTTGTTTTTTTTTTGGGGGGGGGGGTGTTGTCAGACCTAAGACTTGTAACAGGTTCCTTTATGTATGTTAAAGCGCTGAATCCGAAGCCAGAATTGCATTTCTGGCTTTAGATTCGGATTAAATGCGTCAACATACATAGAGAAACATGTGTCAAGTCTTTGGATCTGAAAACTTTTTTATTTTGTGTGGCGTTGTAGTAGATGTCAACAAAAGGGCACAAGTAGATACCCAAGTTGGCGGGAGGGGTCACGTGGGATAATTTGGACACAAGGGTTGATTATTTATTTATACAGTACAGTTTTGTTTGAGATTGTTGTAAACCCTCGTGATTTTCAATTCTTTTTTCATAATCTTCTGCCTTCAAAATCCTTTTCTCATTTCATGATTGTAGGCAATCTGTTAATTCTCAGAAATTATTTTCATCTCGCGGGTTGCTCTGAGTTGCAAAGCTGCATAATGCCTCTGCCCGTTGAACTCTTTAACATACTGCAGTCATTTCGAATACACTAAACACTCCGCCATTGTTACGATATCTCAATTGGAAACCTTTCTTCCCAAACCGAAAGAAAATTAAGCGGTGTAGATGGTCTCCCACTCATGTTCCCTGAAACACCGGCAAAGGCCCACTGGATTTCGTTATCGGCGACTGCCGTCTGCCCTTCACTCCCGCCCACCTTTGCTCGCATCGCTTCTCTAGACGACACTCGCGAGGGGAAACAGCTCCGAAGTCATTTCTCCGCCAATTGGCAAACGCTGCCTTAGATCAACACCATGGTATAAGCACGCTGCCCCCACTCAATTTCCAGTACCTTCATTCAAGTTTTCATTGCCTCCAATGCACCAGCTCCGCACTGACTCGCGGTAGTCCATGATACGATCCATTCTAAAAACATTTTATATTTTGCTTAAGGGGACACATAAAATAAAAATCGTCCTCAAAAATTGCGCTGGTGGTATGCACAAATTAGAGTAGATTTATTGAGAGTTTAATATTTTCTGCAACTTTTCCTGATGTTGGTCATTGGCACCGCCCTAGGACCAGCAGCCACTGCCCGCATATTTAGTTTGCGTCCCGCCCGCCCAGCACAATGCGCACAGCGCCACCCGGCAACAATTGCGCATTGCTAGATTTGTAAGTCATCCCCCATGTTCTTTCTCTGGTCGCTCAGAAGTATTCGAGCATCATTTTGGACCAATTATAGCTCCAGGTTTGAGAAGCTGAATGACACATAACATACACTTACGTACTAGAAATGAGACATCGATGTCGATGTTTTCAAAATATCTATGTTTTTATGAAATCATCATTGTATTTTACTTATATGGCAACATCGGTCTGACAGGCACGAAGTGAAATTGGTTTAAGCAATACTGGCAGATGGCAGAGTAGGAGAGAGCGTCTGCTGTCATAGTACATTCCTCCCTGACCCTCTTCTATTACTCCCGGGATTTGTTTAGTTGTTGAAGAGACCAGCATTGAAGGGGGGTTTTTGGAAGTCGTGGCGGCATGTGAGACAGGCTGTTTCTTCTCTTCCCGTATTTTTATATCCCATATTCATTAATTTAGTTTATATATA